CTTCATATGGAAAGGGAAGAGGCCCTGAATAAGTAAAGCATTACTCAAGAAGAACAACAAAGTGGGAGACCTAACACTACCTGATTTTAGAACCTATTATACTGTGACAGTAGTCAAAACACCCTGGTGCTGGTAGAACAACAGATAAACAGACCAATGGAACAGAATTGAGAATCCAGACGTAAATTCATCCATCTATGAGCAGCTTATGTTTGACAAAGGCCTGAAGTCCATTAATTGGGGAAAAGACAATGTCTTTAACAAATGGTGCTGGCATAACTGGATATCCATCTGCAAAAAATTGAAACAAGATCCATACCTCACACTATGCACAAAAACTAACTCAAAATGGATCAAAGACTTAAAAAATAAGATCAAAAATGATAAAGATCATGGAAGAAAAAATAGGGACAATGATAGGAGCCCTAACACATGGCACAAACACAAATAGAACCATAAGTAACAATGCACAAGCACCAGAAGAGAGACTAGATAACTGGGAGCTCCTAAAAATCAAACATTTACGCTCATCAAAAGACTTCACAAAAGAGTAAAAAGACAACCTACAAACTGGGAAAAAAATTTTGGCTACAACAAATCCGATCAGAGTCTAATCTCTAAAATCTACAGGAAAATCAAACACCTCAACAACAAAAAGACAAATAACTCGATTAAAAAATGGGCAAAGGATATGAACAGGCACTTCACCAAAGGAGATATTCAGGTGGCTAACAGACACATGAAGAAATGCTCACAATCATTAGCCATTAGAGAAATGCAGATCAAAACTACAATGAGATATCATCTCATCTCAACAAGGCTAGCATTAATCCAAAAAATACAAAATAATTAATGCTGGAGAGATTGTGGAGAGACTGGAACAATTATACACTGTTTTTTGGAATGTAAAATGGTACAACCACTTTGGAAATCCATTTGGTGCTTCCTTTAAAAGCTTGAAGTAGAAGTACCATATGATCCAGCTATCCTGCTCCTTGAAGTATATCCTAGAGAAATGAGAGCCGTCACACGAATAGTTATATGCACACCCAAGTTCACTGCAGCACTGTTCACAATAGCAAAAAGATGGAAACAACCTAGGTGCCCATCAACAGAAGAATGGATAAACAAATTATGGTATATCCACAGAATAGAATCTATGCAACGATAAGGAACAACAATGAAGCCATGAAACATCTTATAATATGGAGAAAGCTGAAGGTCATTATGCTGAGTGAATTTAGTCAGTCACAGAAGGACAAATATTGTATAAGACCACTATTATAAGAACTCAAGAAAAGGTTTAAACACAGAAGA